TTGAAAGTTTGTAAGCCAGTCACTTCTTGCCTTTGTAGCCCCCACCCCTTTGGTAGCCAATGTCCAAGTTGCCTATCCCTGTCTACTCTGTGTATGGAGGGGGTGGGAATGATCCTTACTGTAAGGATTTGTTTCCTTTTGAGCTACTGCATCCATAGGTGTAGGTCAAGCTCATCAAATTGTATCAGATTACTCTTTTTTTCCTCTTCTTTCTTCTTCTAGATGAGCTCTGATCATCCAGTCATTGAAGCCAGGTCCAGTGGGTATTATCTGCAAGTGTGGGTGTTCTTGTGCATGTGCCCTCTCTTCTTATCAGCTGGATGTTTCACTCTCAACTCTAGTCCTCTGTGGCTATGTCACTGACTCTGGGCCCAAGAGTCCCCAGGTCTTGCCACACTGCTGGCCAAGCAGGTTTCCACCCGGGTTCACAGGAGTCTATTGAACGTTGTAGGGCTTAGCTTGCAGCTTCCTTGCTGTTTTCCCTCACTTCCCCTTATTGGTGACTAATGTGGTCACCAATCAGAGCATGTATTCCCATTGAGTCTTAGTTTTGGAAGGGGGTTTGCACTGAGGGGACCCTACCACTTGCCTTGATGTCTCCTGGGCAAGCAACTTGCTTGTTCTTGTAGTAATGAGTCAGTTTACCTATATTGTTTTGTATTTTTCCTGTGGGTCTTTATTTCAAGAAGTATCCTCTGTTCTTCTAGCCACTCCAGGCTGGTCTGCCAGTCCTTTCAAATGGAAATTTCCCACCTCAGAAGATTCTGGATGCTGTTTAGGCTTCCACCTATGGTCTTATGTAATGCAGAAGCTATGCAGGAAGCCTCCTTCTCTGGGCACCTTCTAACTCCATTTTAGGTATTCTAGTCAGTTATAAGCAGAAGACGGACTTATAAGCTTTCTATGGTGATATTTCTGGCTATTCCTTTCTTTCCCCCCCAGCGTCTAATTTACAATATAATGCAAGGAAAACCAAGATTCAAAAGACAGCCAATCATTTTAACATTATTTCCCCCCTTTCCCCCATTCTAACCATGTCTCAATCCCTGTATCTCAGAGCCCTGTGTTCCAAGGTTGTACATAAATCATTATTTATCTCTGTCCCACTTAGCCCATGCTTATTATTATTTTTATTGTAATAATTTGGGTGAAAGTTTACAGAGTCGTCCACTCAACAATTTGCATGCATTTTCTTTCCCAATGTCTATCACAGTCTCCACGATGCCACAATGCTCTTCCCCCTTGCTCCCAGGGTCCACTGTTTCCTCCACTTGTCCATCTGTGTTGCCCTATCCTGCCTTCAGAGCTTTGTTTTGGAACAGTGCTCCTCTTTGGGTCTTGTACAGTTGGTTTTAGTAAGGAGTACATTTCTCCTGATGTTATTATTCACTTTATAGAACTGTTTACTGGAGTCCTGGTGTCGTGCTGCAGGATAATGCTCTGGACTGCAAGGTCAGTTTGAGCCACAAGGTCGGCGGTTCAAACCCACCAGTTGCTCTTAGAAACCCTATACAGCATTGCTATAAGTCAGAACTGACTAGACAGCCCTTAAAAACAACAACAGCAATTGTTTGGCTGAAAGTTGATCCCCAGGGGTAGGTTCAGTTCCAGGCTTGATGGGTGCCTAAGGAGCACAGTCTAAGGGAATCTAAGTCTGGTCTTCTTTATGTTTTTGAAGATAATGAAGTTCTTAAATGGTTATACTAATTCAGATTTGGATTATACTAGGAGAGATACTGTTGCTGCCAACTGAAGTAAGAATCTGGGCCTACCTTTGGTTGTTTAAGTTATTATATATTCTTAAGTGTTTTCATGTAACACCTCCCCCCCCCCCCCAAAAAAAAAGAGGGAATTGAAGCAAATACTGTTGAATGATGATTCATGGAGGAGATTGTAATCATTGCAATGAAACAATGGTGTAAAACCAATGTTCTCCATGTAAACTATTGCTCAATTCACAATAAAAACATTAAAAAAAATAATAAATCAGGGCCTATAACAACACTAGCAAGGTAAGCTCACCATGGAATGGTCAATCATTCAAAACCAAAAGGGCAACATTTTCCTAAGGACAAAGTTGAGACGGGATGGGAAGGTGCGTAGAACCACAAGAAGAAACAAGGTAATTGTTTTGAAGAAGAATGTGGCATCAGGATTGGAGGAAGACCCAACCTGCAATTTGCAGATGATACAACCTCTTTGCTTCCAGCAAAGAGGACTTGAAATATTGATGACGATCAAAGACTACAGCCTTCAGTATGGGTTGCACCTCAATGAAAATAAAACAATACTCACCACTGGTCCAAAAAATAACATCATGATACATGGAGAAACGATTGAAGTTCTCAAAGACTTCCTTTTGCTTGGATCCACAACCAACACTCATAGAAGCAGCAGTCAAGGCATCAAACGAGGGTTACTGCATTAGGAAAATCTGCTGCACAAGACCTCTTTAAAGAAGCTCAAGAGCAAAGAGGTCTGTGTGAGGACTAAGATGCACCTGCCCCTAGCCATGGTATTTTCAATAGCCTCGTATGCATGCGCAAGTTGGACAGTGAATAAGGAAGACTGTAGAAGAATTGATGGTTTTGAGTTGTGGTGTTGGAAGAGAATATTGAAAGTGCTAAGGAGCTCTGGTAGCGTAGTGGTTACGAATCGGGCTGCGAACCTTAAGGTCAGCAGTTCGAAACTACCAGCCGCTCCGCGGGAGAAAGATGAGGCTTTCTATTCCCGTAAAGATTTACTCCCTCGGAAACCCTGTACAGGGTCGCTATGGGTCGGAACCGACTCGACGGCACTTAACAACAACAACAACATGGGCTGCCAAAAGAACCAACAGATCTGTGTTGGAAGAAGTACAGCCAGAGTGCTCCTAGGAAGCCAGGATGGCCAGACTTTGTCTCTCATACTTCGGACATATTGTCAGGAGGGACCAGTTCCTGGAGAAGGACTTCATGCTTGAAGTGGAGGGTCCTCGAATAAGAGGAAGACCCCAATCAGATGGATTGTCACAGGACTTTGGCAATGCTAAAGCAAGCATTAACCTGGAAAGAGGAAGTTCCCAGTAGCAATGGGCTGAATACATACTCTGGTTCCATAGTGATTATAAGTCGGGCTGCTAACCTCAAGGCCAGCAGTTAGAAAATACCAGACATTCCTCGAGAGAAAAATGAGGCTTTCTGCTCCTGTAACAATTTATAGCCTCAGAAACCTTATGCAGGGTCACTAGGAGTCGGAACCGACTCCACAGCACATCACCACCACCATATGCTGTAATGTAAACCCTCAACCATAAGGTCAGTTTGAACCACAAGGTCGGCAGTTCAAACTCACCAGCTGCTACTTGGAAACCCTATACAGGGTCGCTATGAGTTGGAACCAACTTGTCGGCACTTAACATCTGTCTGGAGTCCTGGTGTGGTGCTGTGGAATAAAGCACTGTACTGCAAGGTCGGTTTGAATCACAAGGTCAGTGGTTCAAACTTACCAGCCACTCCTTGGAAACCCTATACAAGGTCGTTATGAATCACAACCGACTTGATGGCACTCAACAACATAGGCTTCAAAAAGCTCCTGGAAAAGGGAATTAAAACAATATTTTTCCATGAAACTTTTGAAGTCCCTTCTCATTATGTATATATATGAGATATATGTGTGTGTGTGTGTACATATATAGAGAGAGAGCTCTGGTAGCGTAGTGGTTATGAATCGGGCTGCTATCCTCAGGGTCAGCAGTTGGAAACTACCAGCTGTTCCGTGGGAGAAAGATGAGGCTTTCTGCTCCCATACAGATTTACAGCCTCGGAAACCCTGTACAGGGTCGCTATGAGTCAGAACCAACTCCATGGCACATACCAACAATATATGTATATATATTTATACATGTATATACTTGTATACATTTATGAATCAGAACTAACAGGATGGCACCTAACAACAACATATATATATATATGTTATGTGCCGTGGATTCATAACCACTACGCTAACAGAGCTCCTCTCTCTCTCTCTCTCTCTCTCTCTATATATATATATATATATATATATATAGTGCCAAAACCAGGAGGCAATAGTTTTAAAAGATAAGTGAGTGATCCATTGGCATTTAGATTGTGTAATGATGACTGGAGCAAACAGTGCCTATTCTACTCCAGATGTCTTTTAAGGAAAACCATTTGCGCACTGCGTGGACGCTGACTTTGAAGAAAAGACAGAAGGAAGTGTTAAGTTGAGTGAAGAGGGCCGACTTCTCCAGAAAATCGCACTTGGGGCTTCCCTGAAGGACAGTGTGCCCCTAGGAGGACCCTCCTCTGGCCAGTCTGCTGGGGGAAGTGGCCATCTCTGTCTGAGGTTCTTACTTAGCCTGGAAGACTCACAGTGTCAAGCCTGCCTAGGGGAGGGGTGGATACTTCAATTTGTAAATCCCCTACCTTCATTTCACAGGCCTTTGGCAATGCTAAAACAGCCATTCCAACTTGAAAGAGGAAATCCCCAGTAGCAATTTATGTTCATGTGGTCCCTTGGAAGAAAAAGGTTATAAGAAAAAAATAAAAATTGTGATTTGGGATATTTGGCTTCAGAAATAAGACTCTGAGCCCAGGAAAGCCACTTAGCTTGTTCACTGCTAGTTCTGGGTGGACTCCAGTGGGAATGTCACTTCGTTCGGTTCGGTTCTGCCCACTCTTCTGTCCCTCCCCCGGCAAGTGCAGGTGCTGAGCATGGGGGCCACTCAGTAGACAACACAGTTAAGCTACGTGGCCAAATGCCACACCATTGAATAGTGACCTAATTAGGTCCCACAGCACCTACTGGGGCTGTTTTTGACCTTGTTCCCACCTGTGGCCGTCAGCTTGCCTTGGGAATCCCTGGGACCCCCAAGCCTTGTGCAGGTTGATTACATCTGCCCACTTCCCAGGCGCTGGCAGCTGGTGGGCACCTCCAAAAGGCTGGAGATTGCAAAGGAAAGAAGGAGATCCAGGCAATTCCCCAGGGGATTCGGGATGATCCCTGAATTTACCAGGCCCAGCTCCGAGGGCGCTCACCACCGCGCCCTATGGAGCACCCTGTTCTGCAGGTCAGGCCCTTCTAGTACCCAATCCTCAGCGGGCACCAGCCCGTGAGGGACAGGACCAGATGGCCAGGATTGGGGGGCGGGGCGCGTTGAGCACCCTGCTGTTTGTGGTTGGCAGCCTGTCCCAAAGTCAGCGCCCTCCGCGGCCTAGCGTGCTTAATTTTTCACGACTCTGTAGAGTCGGCCATGACCACAGTAGTCTCGGGCGAGGGACATTTCCCACGCAGGTGTCCCGGTCCCCTGAGACTCCTAGGCCCTCTCTCCTCCTTCAGCGTCACATCCCCTGGCTGACTTGCAATCTGCGGTCGCGACCCCGGGATTCTGAGTACTTTCCCGGGGTGGGGCCTCCCCCGTGGCAGTCTTGGGCCCCAGCTCAGAGGCCCACATCCTACACCGGAAGAAAATCCAACCACAGCCTCCAGTTTTAAGGGGCGCCGACTGCCCCACGTCGTGCTGTGTCCCGGGTGTTCCCCGATCTAAGGCGGTCAGGCTGGGTGGAGTGGCCCCCAGAGCCTGGGGGCGAGGCAGTGAAGTCCACGCCCCGACGCGGCGGGAGGCGTCTTGCTCTGGCTCCGGGCGCGAGGACTGGGAGCCAGTTGTCCCCACGCGGGCCGCTGCGCAGGGCGGTGCCTGGCCTGGGGGGACGGGGGCGGGGCGCCCGCTCGGGAGTCAGTGCTCCGCGGGCGGAGGCGCGATTTCCAGCTCCCTTCCAGCCTCGGGTTGTTGTTAAGTGCCATCGAGTCGGTTCCGACTCTTAGCGGCCCTGTATAAGGTTTCCAAGGAATGGCTGGTGAGTTTGAACCGCCGACCTTGCGGTCCAAACTGTTTGGCGGTCCAGTGCTTATCTCCAGCGCCACTCCAGGGTGCGAAGTGCGTAAGCGGAGAAGTCCCGCGGGGCTGGGAACTTTGGGACGCCAGTCCCCGCCGGCCTCCTTCTGTCCCCGCCCCCCGGGAAGCCCCGCCACCCCGCCCCGCCCCGCCCCGCCCCGCCGGGCGCCCCACTCCCGCCTCGCAGACTTGAGCTGGGGCTGCA